AGAACCACGAGAGCAACTAAGAGAACAGAAGCCAAACGACACACAACAAATAAACCCACAACAGCAAAGAAAGAAGAGAGAATGGAACTTACCACCGAGGAGCCTCTACGAGCCACCAGAAACCGAAACGTTTAAGAAAAAGATCCTAGATCTACAACGATTGGTAAGAGTTTAGGTTAAAAAAACTTTAGATTCGGGTATAGAAAAATAGATACTTCGATTTAAGGGGGGTCTTGTAATTTCCGTGGCCGGCGGTGGTGCTGGCACCGGAGCAAGGCGGCCGACCGATTTCCTTCATCGGAGAAGGTAGAGAGAATTTTTATCTCTCTTTTTAGAGAGAAAATGGAAAGAAGAAAATGAAAGGCTTAAAGCCATTCTCAGCCGATTAATGGGTATTTAAACCCCTCCCCGAACGACGTCGTTTTGGGGAGGGGGTATATCTGTAATTATCATCAAGGGTAAAACCCTTTCCGTGACCTTTCTATGTTTATATCTTTACACTTTGGTCACTAAAATCAATTATTGAGCCTTTCAATTCGGTATTTAAATTTTATTTTCTTTACATTTTAGTCCTTACCCGTAATTATACATATTTACGGTAAATACCTAATTAGTCCCTGGTAATTTTAATAAATTTTATTTTAATCTCGTATATATTATTAAGGCTAAATTACACTGTAGGCCTCTGGATTTTATGATATTTTGAAGTAGAGTACTAAGTTTAAATAATCTACATTTTAACACTATATTTTTAATTTATTTTATTTTAATCATTATGTATTTACAATATTATTACTTTTATTTTTCAATTATTGCTTTAATTATTATTTTATTATTATCTTAGTCATATAAATATATATAATAATATTTATTTATTTATTTTATTTGTTTTCTATGAAATAAAAATCCTATTTATGAACTAGATATGTTTAATTTTATTTTATTATTATGTTTTAGTTATTTATTTATTTTTAAATATTGAAGGAAATAACTGTCTTAAAACAACTAGAAGCCCTTTTCTAATATTTTTAAATAAATAAATATCTTACTATATTAAAATAATTTATTATTATTATTTTTTAATATCAAAAGAAAGAGCTGTCTTAAAGTACCTAGAAGCCCTTTTCTGATATTTCTAAATAAATAAATATGTTATTTAAATATATATATATATATATATATATATATATATATATATATATATTCTTTAAATTATAAATAACATGATTATTAAATTAAATATATCTTTGAATTTTTAATAATAGAGACAATTTATAATTAAAAAGTACTAATTTTGGGCGTTGTAGGGGTGCTAATCCTTCCCTAAACGTAACCGACCACGAATCCCTTTTTATTATTAAAAAGAACGAATTTTTGATTAAAACACAGATCAGTTTATCTTTTAATCGATGTTTTCTTAAAAACTCTTTTAAAGGATGATTTTTAAGTATTCGACCTACCTGACCCAAAAGACCGATGGCGGCTACCAAATTATTTTAAAAATCATTTATTTACATCACTTTTCCCGCCTAGTAAAAAATTCGTGCCCGGACGAAAACCGGTTACGACAGTTGTTCTTCAACATAAGCTTCGTTGGGTGTAGCGGCTCACACTATTCAACACAAGAAATCTGAGAAATAGTGTCTAGCGGCGCTCAAGCCAGCACTAAAATGTTTGGGTTTCCATCCCCGATGGATTCAGCGGTCTTGGTCATTGGAAGCTTGACTGGTTCACCCCTCAGAAGGGTTTACAACAAGGAATGGAACTTTTGGGGAAACAAACCTGGTGTTTATTGGCAAACAAGGAATGTCTTCAGCGACATTCAAACAAATGATGGTTGTTATCATGGTCATTCCAACAGAATTCTGTCCCAACATCAGGAATCACATCTGTCACAGTTTTTTGATCGATACACTGCAAGCTGGAATCAAGAAGCTGCCCCGACTCTCTTTGGGTGAACGAACTCCAACAGGGTTTTCTGATTTTCAGACAATAGGATCAGATTGTTTGGAAATTCGACTTTCATGGCTATTAAGAAAGCATTCCAAGTACTTTTGGATATCGGGCAACCATACAATTTCATGGAAAACCATTTGACCCTTTCGAATGTTTTCTTCCTGCTTGCAGACATACAAATGGCTAAGTGGAAAACAGTTATACGTCAAACATCGCGTACCAGTTTGGAACTAAAGCCTATCACGGACGATATATCATTATTGTCAACAAACCAAATAATCGATAGTGAAGAACAAGAGGTGTTTCCTGAAGAACAGGACAATGATTTGAGAGTTGAGAGTGGCCACCGGAGGAAGGAGGATAACTAGTAAGAAGATGACAGACATTAATGATTTGAGAGTTAAAACCCTAGTAATTGGACGTGGAGGATTTTTGGCAATAATTTTGACAGATTACTTCACACCTTTCTTATGGAATGTTAAAGATATTCTAGAAGCCAGGTGTTTGTTTGTTATGACACGTGATAGATCAAGTGATTGTCTATGTGGTTATGCTGTTGCAACAGGTGGATGAGCAACAGTTGATCTACCATCTTAATCATCATAAATAGCCTACTCTTTGTATGATGTATCATGCTTCTTTAATCAATAAGAGATGTATTTTTCAATAATTCTACCATGGTGCAACCTGCAACAATCTTAGAAGTTGCCAGTGATGAGCAGATCAATGATTCCAGTTCGCTCGCCTTTGCCAATAAGAGGATTAATGTATGCTTAACAAACTCGAATTATCTCTTGTGAAAAATAGTAGGTAATACTCACGATTCGAGGTCTTGGTCTTGAATCTTATCTTGATGAATCCATGCCCATTCCAGCCCAATTAGCAGTCAACAATGCTGAAGAGAAGATTGCTAATCTAGCCTACTTATGCCTCATCAAACAGGATAGTTCCTTGGCCTCATGGTTTCTCTCAACTGTTAGTCCTAACATCTTGCCTCAATTAGGTGGTGTTGATTCCACAACAGCAATCTGGAGTGCTGTTACCAAGATATTCTAAGCTTTTCACAACAAAGATCATGGCTCTACACTGTCACCTTAGGTCAATGAAAAAAGGCAATCAGTCCATGAGGAATTACACGATGGATGTTAAAGAGATTTTTCATCTTCTAGCCACTTGTGGCAGTCCCATTTCAGATATAGATCATATGGTTACCATTCTCAACGATCTTTCTGTATCATGGCTCTACACTGTCACCTTAGGTCAATGAAAAAAGGCAATTAGTCCATGAGGAATTACACGATGGATATTAAAGAGATTTGTGATCTTCTAGCCACGTGTGGCAGTCCCATTTCAGATATAGATCATATAGTCACCATTCTCAACGATTTTCCTGTGGAATATGAACCTACTGTAGCAGCAATTACAGCGAGTAAGAAACCATTTGCATTGAAAAATGTAGTGTCCGTTCTCACTGATGATGAGTCTCACCTTGAAGATTCTTCTCGTTTTCCAGTTGGTGTGAACTTCACTCGATATAATACCAATCAGGCTTCTGATGGTCAACAAGTCAACCAGCATCACAAACAAAGGAAGGCCGAGGCAACAACGTCAACTCTGTGGAAAGCTAGGTCATCTTGTGGACAGATGTTGGCACAGATTTCATCAAAAATTTTAAGGGTGTTTCTGCTCAATAGAATCAATCAGAAAGTGAAGCACAGGAAAATATTTGTTCATGTTTGTCTCATGCCTCTGATTGCACCTATACTCCTTTTGTGGGTACAAATGCTGGCGATGAAGAACCCTCTAACATGGAACCCACTGACAATGTTCAAGTAAATGCGTTGATGGTTGAGGGGAAATTGAGCTACTCCAAATGATTTCTTGACTCAGGTGCCACGCACCATGTGACCAGCTCGTCTTCTCTTACAAACAAGCAAGCATATACAGGAAGTGATAAGGTTCATCTAGGGGATGGTTCAACTATTTCTATTAGTCGTATTGGTCGAAGTTCATTTGCAACTCCCACTAGAAATCTTTTACTAGATCAAATGATTTATGTTCCACAAATAAAGAAAAATCTTTTATCAGTCTCAAAATTTACTAAAGATAATGTAGTTGAGTTTCATGCCAATGTTTGTTATGTTAAGGATGAAACTGAAGTGGTGAAAGCAGTCCTTAATAAACCAATGCAAGTTGATAGAACAAGCATATGTGCAGCCTGCAAGATGGGAAAAAGTCATGTTTTACCATTTTCTTCATCTCAAACTGTGTATAGTCGACCTTTTGAGCTTGTTGAAATTGATGTATGGGGTCCTACTCCAATTGCTTATAGTGGTTTTCGCTTTTTTGTGAATATTATGGATTTGTACTCCAAGAATAGCTGGAAGAATTACTGAAAAATACATCTCTTATTGATTCAAGAAGAATGATACATGAATAAGCTGTTTATGATGATTAAGATGGTAGCTCAATTGTTGCTCATCCACTTGTTGCAATAACATAACCACATGGATAACCACTTGATCTACCACGTGTCATAACAAACAAACACCTGGCTTCTAGAATACTACCAGCTTCTAGAATATCTTTAACATTCACCCTACTATTTTACATGACTTATTTTAACTCATACACACATAATTGGTTTCTCAACGTTTCAAACTTAATAAGAGCAAAAGGTTTTTTCAACATATTTGCAACCTGACTATTGGTAGGGACGTAATTGACTTGAACTTCTCGTACTGCAACTTTTTCTCACACGAAGTGTAGGTCTAGCTCAATGTGTTTACTCTTAGCATGCAGAATAGGATTTGCATCCATAGCAATTGCACTGGTGCTATCACACCGCACCTTTGGTGCTTCTAGCAAAGGAACTGCCATCTCATGTAGAACCACCTTCACCCACAAAAATCTAGTTTATGCTTATTAAATGGTCTGATAAGAGGAAAACATTGACAGCCAAAAACTTTTAAAATAATCATAGTCAGGAAATCCCTAGTGATATACATGTTGCCCTTAAAGATGCAGACTGGTAGGAAGTTGTTATGGTTGAATATAATGCACTGTTGAGCAACAACACATGGGATATTGTTGAGTTGTCAGCTGGAAGGAAAGCTATTGGTTGCAAGTGGCTTTTCAAGGTTAAGAAAAACGCTGATGGATTCGTTAAAAGACTGAAAGCCGAATACAAAAGTTTGACGGATGTAACTTCTGAAGTGATGTGGGTGAAGGCGGTTCTACATGAGATAGCAGTTCCTTTGCTAGAAGCACCAAAGGTATAGTGTGACAGCACCAGTGCAGTTGCTATGGCTGCAAATCCTATTTTGCATGCTAAGAGTGAACACAATGAACTAGACCTACACTTCGTGCGAGAAAAAGTCGCAACACGAGAAGTTCAAGTCAATTACGTACCTAGCAATAGTCAGGTTGTAGATGTGTTGACAAAACTTTTGCTCTTAATAGGTTTGAAACATTGAGAAACCAGTTGTGTGTATGAGTTAAAAGAAGTCATGTAAAGTAGTTGGGTGAATGTTAAAGATATTCTAGAAGCTGCTAGTATTCTAGAAGCCAAATGTTTGTTTGTTATGACACGTGGTAGATCAAGTGGTTATTCATGCGGTTATGTTGTTGCAACAAGTGGATGAGCAACATTTGAGCTATCATCTTAATCATCATAAATATCATATTCGTTGTATGATGTATCATGCTTCTTGAATAAATAAGAGATGTATTTTTCAGTAATTCTTTTTCATGTTTAACATGGAAGAGATGAAGTGTTTTCACAGTTTAATGTTAGATGGAAGGTCTTTTCATAAACCAACAATGTTGCTACATCTTCAACTTCTATTGATTCTATTAATTTTTAATTTAAAAGATATTTTGGAATAAGTTGCAATATTAATTTAATTTAACTTTTATACTTTAAATAAATATTAATTTAATTCTTAAACTTAGTCAAAGTCAATAATCGCTTGTCCATAAAAAGACTTTATTTTAATTACTGCATTAGTGCATTATGTATGACCATATTACGGATACTGCACGGAAAATGATTCTAATATATATAGAACATAAAATGAATTTTATTTTTTGCTTCTGATACTGTAGGCTATTGCAAGCTTGATGGTGGAACCGACCACAATGCTGCTCAACAAATGGGCAACCCTAATAAATTCTGGTCAATCCGAAATAGATGTCGAAAGACAAATTACAACAGCGGCGAGGGGGATTATAGCGAGGTAGAGCTTCGATTTGAGCACCTAAAAGAGAAATGAAGTGTATGAGAAATTGCAAAATTTATTTTTTTTAAAATTTAATGAGTAAAAGTAAACAAATATGAAATGAAAGTAATCATTTTGATAATTCATCCTATATATATTTTTAAAGCGGTTTGGTGTGCTCATTCTCAAAAGTATGGTGTTGGTGAGCTAAACAATACATGTATTTACATGCAAAAAAACTTTCTTTTATGCATGATAAGAGATCAATACCCCATGCTTATTTTTTTTTTTAAAACGTTTTAACGTGAAGTCATTTCGAAAAAGAGATTGTATATGAAAACAATACACCTTTATAACTCACTGTACCAATGATCAATTGTCGAGGTATTTCGAATTAGAGATTTGAGCAAGAAGGGTGAGTTTTCAGATACGTTTTAGGTGTTAGGGAACCATCTTCAGTCTTCACCAACCCCACTGTTCCCAGCAACTCATGCTACAAATTCATGGATTCTGCAAAAGATATGGTAGTTCTATTGCAGCATAATGGTTTAAAGTTTAAACACCAACTTAAACTCATTTGCAGATACAATTCAATTTAAAAGCAATATATGTGACTTACGAAAACTTGGAACGTCAATTATTATAACTAGAAATCTAAAAGTACAAAATAATATTTTTCAGCAGTAATATCACAATAAAGCACAACATGTAGCCAAGAACATACAACTTCCTGATCCCACATCAGGAAGAAGAAAACAAAAATTTACCGGCAGAAACGGTCCTATAGTGAACGACAAACCATTATAAATTTCATTCTGCAGCTGCTGCATTCTCACTGTTATTTTCCCCAGTCGTGGTATCTGGCAGAGTTCCCAAACCTGCTTGAGTCGTCGAAGCATCGGATGAAACATTGGGATTATTCTGGCTTGCATCTGTGTTTCCATCTGTATTAGATGATGCATCCGATGAATTTGAAGAATCGACTGATTTGCTTTGCTCTGAATTTGCATCGTAATTAGCATTTCCATTGCTGTCGTTGAAGCTCTGAACGGCATTGTTGTTCTCATTCTGGTTTGAGTTTTCATTACTGTTGGTATTGCTCTGAACGGCATCGTTATTCTCATTCTGACTTGAGTTTTCGTTGTTGTTGGTATTGCTCTGAACAGCATCGTTATTCTCATTCTGACTTGAGTTTTCATTGTTGTTGGTATTGCTCTGAACGACATCATTGTTCTCATTTTGACTTGCATTTTCGTTGTTGTTGTTGTCGTTGTAGCTCTGAGAAGCATTATTCTCATTCTGACTTGCATTTTCATTGGTGTTGGTATTGCTCTGAACAGCATGATTGTCCTCATTTTGGCTTGCCTTTTCACTGTTGTTGCTGTCGTTGTAGCTCTGAGAAGCATTATTCTCGTTCTGACTTGCATTTTCATTGTTGTTGCTGTCGTTGTAGCTCTGAGAAGAATTATTCTCATTCTGACTTGCATTTTCATTGTTGGCACCGCTCTGAGCAGCATTGTTCTCGTTCTGACCTGCATTTTCATTGTTGTTGGTGTTACTCTGAGTGACCTTGTTCTCGTTCTGACCTGCATTGTCATTGTTGTCGGTGTTGCTCTGAGTGACTTTGTTCTCGTTCTGACCTGCATTTTCATTGTTTTCGGTGTAGCTCTGAGCAGCATTTTCATTTACATTCGAATTCTGGTCCTTTTGAGTAACCTCTGAAGTTGCATTTTCATTGTTGTCAGTGTTGCCCTGAGTAGCATTGTTCTCGTTCTGACTTGCACTTTCATTGTTTTCGGTGTTGCTCTGAGCAACATTGTTCTCATTGTTTTCGGTGTTGCTCTGAGCAACATTGTTCCCATTCTGACCTACAGTTTCATTGTTTTTGGTGTTGCTCTGAGCAGCATTTACATTTTCATTCGAATTGTTGTCCTTTTGAGTAACATCTGCAGTTGCATTGTCCGTGGCGCTGCTCAGATTGTCGATGCTGCTTCTGTTCCCATTTGCATTCCCATCATTGTTGGTACTGCCACTATCGTTCCCATTCTGACCTGCAAGAGCATTATCATTAGTGTTCGAGGACGTTTCACCGTCTTCGGCAATTGAAGAATCAGAAGAAACTTCTTTGTTCTCGTTATCATTTGAATTCTCATTCCCGTTTAGCGACAGAACACTTTCTTGCGTCCCCTCTCCAGAATTATTGTTTGATTCTTCAGTCTGAACATTTGAATTGCTGTCTGAACCGGTCCATACATTGGAGTTTTCAGTCTGTCCATTTGATTCAACAGATTCAGAGTTACTTGTAGAGCTTGTAGAACCTCCATTAGTCCCATCCCCATTCTCAGTTGAAGTTGGAGTTGCATTTGAGTTCGGTTGCTCACCATCGCCGCTTGAATCCGATTTCTCAGATTGTAGAACTATATCATTTTCACTCTCAGTTGTACCGTGTGTTGTATCTGTCAGATTCTCATTTGATTCCTTAGCTGTATCAGGTTGCGGATCTTCTTTTGACTCAGCCTCATTACTCCCATCACTGCTTTCTTGATTGTTCTCAGTTGTTTCATTTTCTTGCACATTTGACTCGTCATGATGGACATTAGTTACTTCACTGCCATTTGTTTTGTCCTCCTGATCTTTATCTTTGTTTTCCAACTGCTCCAACACATTGGAATTTTCCAAACCATTTGTCTCATTCTCAACGGCTATATTTTGGGCATCATGGACTACTTCGCTGGAAGCATCGTCTGCCTTGTAATGTTCTTCTCTCGCTTCTTCATTGTTCTGGTCAACTCCATCTTGAACCCGGTTGTCCAAGGCACCTGAATTCTCTATCCCACCTTCACTCTTCTCCGTCTCTTTCTCTTCATGTGTCTCCTCGTTCCCTTTGTTCTCAGTGTCCTCCTGGCTCCCATCATTTCCATTTTCTTTGCTCTCTTCACTCTCTTCCTTTCCTCCATCTAATGAATCTTCTCTGCGCTCGGTTTCCTCTTCGGGTTTCTCATTATCATGCTCATTCATTGCGTCAACATCCCCATTCCCATTCCCTTTCGCTTCATCTTCAATTACCTCAGGCTTGTTATCTTCTCCTCCATTCTTGCTTTCTTCTTCTTCTTCCTCCTTGTCCCAAGCGTCCTTAACCGTTATTCCTTCCGATCGAGGAAAGTCCTTTCTCCCCAACTTAACGAATTCATTCCCCGATGCATACGCTATTTTCTTCTCACCAGAGTGCTTAACTTGGTAAAGCAACCAGATGCAGATACCGACAAGAACACATATTTGAAGAGCATGCTTTACCTTCAATCCCTTCGATCTTTGATTCCTACTAGGCGAAACACGGAACATGATGAACTTCCTTTCCTATTAACCTGTCGGAGAAACACCAGGAAACATTGGAGTTCTTCAACAGATGTAAAATTCAACTTAGTAATACCACAATATTCGTATAATAGCAAATACATTACACTAATCCAATCCAAAGAGAAAATTAAAAGAAAAGAAACTCAAAACAAGCAGAGATCAGACCTTAGAACTAACAAAAAGCAGAGATCACTGTCTTAACGACACTGTAATCAAGTGCTTATTTAAAAGCTTCAATAAAAACGAGAAATTCAACTCTTTTCTATTTATCAAGGTAAAAAAAAATACCCAAAACAAGTTCAAAATACTTGCTATAAAGTGATAACGATAAAGAAATTGCAACTCGAAAATTCCATCACCAAAGGAAAAAGCAAAAAAGAAACTTTGTTCAAGTAATAGTAGCGGAAAAGAAATATAAAGCAGGATCAAAAGTGCAAGTATAATCTGGAACGACAATAACTTGCATTTGAAAGCAAACCCATTTTTAACACTTGAAAATTAAATGGGGAAAGCGTTGATGGGGACTTACCCAGAATCGGAATGATCCCAAACTAACAAGCGGAGAGCACTTTATTCTCTCTAAGTGAATTCCGAGAACGGTTGAGTTTCCGGGAAATTTCACAAAAGAAAAAGGAAATGAAAAAAGCTTTGACTTGAAGGAGTAGAAACTCTGCGTGTCGATGTGAAGATGAGATCGGATCTGGGAAACGAGAAACAGAGTGCTTCTTAAAAAGATTGTTTTCGAGACGTCAAAGCTAAAAAGACCCTCCTTTTTAACTTGAATCTTGTGAACTGTCTGCAAATTCCACTCTTTCTATTTGTAATACAGCCTCTTAAAAGCGTGTGAAATGGCATATTTTTTTAAAAATATATATATGTGTGTGGTTTTTTGTGCATCGGTTGCTGTCAATTTGCAGCAGAACTCAATATCGAGAGATGGCAAGTTTTATTGGGACAATCAAAGTGAATAAGTTGTGGATAGATTACATCACAAATCTCTGTATTGTGAGTAAATTTATAGTTAGGTTATCATATTTCAAAAAGTTCTACTATATGTGTTACTGTACAAAGAAAAGAAAAATCTGCTACAATAGTACAAAAACCTCCTTAATTAATACTCCAGAGAATGTACTAAATTGTACAAAATTGAAGATTTACAAAATCAAACTTATCTATATATTTGTTATGAAATTTAATTCTAACGATCTCTATAATATTCTTTATTCTTTGAATGACCCTAATCGATTTCATATTTCTCTCCTTCCAAATAAAGTAAATGAAATCACTGTATGTTAGTTCAATGATGAAAGTGATTAATGATACAAACTTTATTCCAACAATAAATGACTTTAAGATCAAGATCTCCTTTTGGTTTTAAAGAACAAATATGTTTCTAACATAATTTACCTATAGTACAATGACCTTTGATGTAATTTACTTACAAATAATTGACATATTTCTTAAGGTCGGTGGAAGGTAACTTTATGGTTCATTTATGGTTACTTGCGTTCCACCAAAATAAGTAAAAGCTTTAGAATTAATTTGTATATGAAGGCATCTTTTTTTACTTTTTCTTTTATTAATTCCCAATCTGTGGAACACTTCCATTAAAGAAAAGACCGCAAGAGGCTCAAATGGCCCACATGCGACGAAAAGAAACTGTGGAAAAGACCAATAAAACCCAAGTCCAACTTTAAACGATATTTTATACCTACAAACTACCTGTCAAATGGGCAGCTTAAATTCATTTGGGTTGAATTCAAGTCATTTTTAAATTGTATTGTTTTTTTTAAGTATAAATTACCTTTGGGTTTAAGTTATTATGATTTAAGGGTTGAGATTTTCATATTCCATTCATTTTAGATTATGGTCATTTCATGTTTCGTGATTTGAGTTTAATTTAACACATGAATTATTTTTAATTAATAAATATTACATTTAAAATTATTTGTAATTTTTATGATTATATCTGGTTTGATTTTTAAAGTTATTTAAATCCAATCATATTTTTACATGTGTTATTATGATTTAACATGTAATTAATTATTTTACACGAAATCATTGATCTTATTACAATATAATAGTGAAAAATAAATATTATATAGTATACATGATTATATTATAGGTACATAAATTTTATAAATATCAAATTATTATATATTATATATAAAAGTGTAAATTAATATGTGATATATAATTTTTTTGTGCTTATATGTTACATGTATTTATTATGTATAACATATATTTTAATAATTAATAATTTATTGTTTTATAATTTGTGACATATTTTTAATTTTTAATTTTTTATTAACGATTTTAATATCTTTTAGTAATTTATTTTTTAGTTAAATATTTAAAATAATTTATTTTTTCTAAAAAAATAAATGAGTTCTCAAACTTTCTAAAAAATCAATTTAACTCTCAAATTTGATCAAAAATTAATTTAACCCCTCTACCATATCATTTACCGTGTACCATTATGTCGGCACCATGAGTAATCACGTTAATATTTTGTTCGTAATGATCAACATTCGACTTCACTGGTCAAATTGATTTTCTCTCTCTTTAATTTAAGGCCATATTTACTAAAAAAATCAAAGATTACATTAATTATTTAAAAAAAAATGAAAATCTCATATATCATTAAACCTTGATATTTTGACGCTGTGTTTTAGAGATGCTAGTACGCAGAAATACCATTTGCAGTACCATTTTCTTCTTATATCATATAAAAAATATCCAATATATATTTTATAATTAACTGATAATATAACAAAAAACTAACACAACTTCATATTAATCTAATAATGTCTAAAAATAATATATTTAAATTACTAACTAGGGAACAAATTTGTTTTCTTGTGTGGACCACAATCATCATTTTTGTAAATTCGTAAAAAATGTATGTGTTTTTTTATCATCCAACTAGAAAATAAAAGTGAAATTGGACATACCCTACTCAAAGATTATTTTGTGTTGAGGGAAAAAGCCTTTGTTTTGTCATGTCTACGTGAAAGACCTCTGCATGCATTTTGTAGTATAGCAAAACGAACTTGGAAACAATGATTTATGTGCCAATGAAATATCCCATCAACTTTCATCTTTTCGTTTCCCATCATTCATCCATTCACTTTTTTCCCCTATCTTCTATCTTTCATTTCCTCTTACATCAAAACAGTTATTTATTATTTCCCAGTACATTACTTGTGCGTTTTACTTCTTTAAATGGATCAAGCATCTTTTGCCTGCTTCTCAAACCACTCCTCCTTTTACTTGATTTGTGCTCATAATAATTACTTATAATATGGATTCTGCAATATTACTCTCATCTTCCAGAATTCACTGGTCGAACCAATGAGAAGCAGAGACTTATCCTTTGTGAAAAATTAAGTTTCAAGGCCAAAAGGATATGTTATTATGTATTTCCTTACACGCCAAGAAAGTAAAACCAAAGACAACCGGAACCTACCATACTCAGATGTCATATTCATAATTCATAAAGATTTGCCCAAGAAATCGTTTATCATTGTGAAATATGCGAATACAAATACACTGCCCAAAATACCAACAAAGGTTTCAGATAATCAAGAAGTTAGAATATATCTTTTACGTTGATTTGCATGGTTCAAAATTGGCTATTGAAGAACCTAAAATATGTGTTTATGATCTGGGAACTGTGTTTTTAAGGGTTGAAGATGAAGTTTCCACATTTGCATTTCCATCTCATGGGCTTGTAGTTGGAGTTTCCATCTCCTCTTGCATAGGCAGCATTAGAGACAGAGATTAACGTTGAAGTATTGCTCCCATTGCGGGCTTGGGGATTTGTAGGCACTTGAATGGCTTCACAGCGATTACATGAGTTGCACCTTCTCTCACACCTCGGCGGCCTCGAACCTATCTGTGCTCTCAATCTCGCCTTTTCCTCATTCACTGTCTATCCAAAGTAAAAAAGAACAAAACATTCTCAGAATTCATTACTAAATATTAGACAAAGAAATGAATCTTTTTTGTGTTTTAAGTTATAAAAGAATGACAAGAAGCTCACCTGTGAAAAGCTATCAGATTCTGGATTTGGTCTACCTGCAAAAACAAAATAGGAGGCAAGAAATTTGACTTCAAACCCATAACTTAAAAACTTGGCAAAGTTTATTGATTCGGATGAAAAGGATGATGATTAGTTACCTTGGGCTTTGTTTGTGAGTTGAGACGTGCTTAAAATCAAGAGAAAAAGAAGGGAAAAGTAGCTTGGTCTAAGGCAAAATATGAAACTATGGCTACTACAAACCATTTTGATGAAGAGAAGCCTAAGAGGCAAGAAAGAGCATCAAGAAGAAGTGAGCAGAAAAGAAGACAGGAAATAGGCAAATTTGGATAGTTATATAACCGAGCGAGCGAATGGTATCAGTGAGTGAATTTGCAGCAGAAAATAATGGAGTAGAAGCGATATATCACTCTCTGTTGAAATGATGGAACGATCCGAGGACAAACAAGTTAAATGAAGAAATGAAAGAGAAAAGGAAAACAAGCTTTATAACCTCGTTTGATGCGCCGGTTTCCGACCTGTTAAGCTACAGAGACCAACAAAGATCTTGGGGAACAGAGACAAGCTACTATGATGGAAGATAGAGAAAGCCAACAGTAGAGAAACACAGCATTTCAAAAGACAAGTAGGAACCAAAAACAGCAACGAAAACACCATAAACGTCAAGGAGTTCACACTTCACACAAATGGACATGAAATTACAGGCTTTGGGGAATTGGGTTTTCTCTGTCCTCTGCTTTTGCGATATTGTTAAACAGGCCTCAACTTTATACACTGTTTCTAATTTGGCCCTTCATTTTTTTTTTCAAACAAATGCTCAATGTTCTAAAAAATTTCAATTCATCTGCGACGACTATCGTTGGATTCACATAAAACCAATTTATATTATTTTACGTAAGGAATAAGACTTTTAAGATATCTGTAAAATTTAATTAAATATTATTTTTTATAGAATTTTAACAAATATCTAGTTTAACTTATTGATTAGGTATAAGGTTTTTTATACAAGGGGTCTTATGTTGAATCTCCTTCCTTTTCCGTGAGACGCTTATTTGTTTTCTTAAATTAATTTAACAAATTTAAATATAATTCATTTTGTAGAATTATAGCAAATTCTAAGTCTAGCTAAGTGGTCATGCATAAGACCTTTATTCATAAGACCCAGAAATTTTTTTCCTCTTTAAATGCACCAATTTAATTTAATTTTTATTTGGATCAATTAGGTATTGATATAGGTTACCATCTAATTGATCTCAATAAAATTATTTAAAAAATGAGAAGTAACTGCTCATTAGAAGAGATAAAATGACTTAAAAAATAAAAGTAAAATTTCACGTCTGTATTACTGTCAAATATTTAACGGCCAATGATCAAAATAAGAGGAAAAATAGAATTTATGATGCTTTTACCAGTTAATTTAGTTTGATGTCCAAAATAAAAATGAAAAATAAATTGATGATTATTGATATAATTTACTGTAAAATAAATATTGCACCACAAAGTTATATAATCCCATTATATAACTAATTAATCATATAAAAAGTTTGATAATTTTAAAAACAAACTATAAAGAATAATAACCACTTTAATATAATAATATAAAGACAAATTTTAAGGGTGTATTTGGTATGTTACTCTAAACTGTTCAATTTATACTTGGGAAAGGCGAAGGAATCAGGCTCGGTCCATTGCAGGCGCAGCCCATAAGAAAATAGGATGAAAATTGCATGAAACGGTTATGGCACCAAATTTTCTTAATGGATTTATACTCCCCAAGTTCTAGTTTGACCTATAACTGAAAATTTGATTGGTGAGAAAAGTATGGATAGTCTAAAATACAACGTGTTAACATAAGGCTAAAAAACGACATAAAGCGATTGTGATTAAATTTTTTATTAAAAGTGTAACTTTTGAAGTTGTACAACCTAATAATTTAGGTTGAAACTGAAAATATTATCTTTCTCGTAACATTTTCGATTGTAACTGAAATTATCAAAACTTGTATAATTTTTTCAATTGTAAACCTATGACGGTCGCAATATAACATTTTTTTATTGTAACGAAAAATGTTACAAATTGTATAACTTTTTTAAATTGAATAAAAAAATATTTTAGATTAAAAGTTACCTTAAATTGATCTTAAATTAAGTTGACGTCAACATTACTAAAAAAACAAGTAAACTGCACGAAAAGAAACCCAAAATATTAGATAAGGAAAGTCAAAGTCAATTTCAATTGATTTAATGGATACATTGAGTTTTGCATGTTTAGATTAACTCGGTTATTTTAGTTAATTTGATTTATGTTTTGATTATAATAGTTCGGTTAAATTTTATGATTAGTAGTTTTTTTTGTCTTTGTGTTAATTTTGACTGATTTAGTTCTTATACTTTAATTAACTTATTTTTAGTTTTTATACATTTTTTAAAATTTTAATCTTGATTAAACAATAACGATGAAACGTTCTAAAATAAATTACGTCATTTGCTCCTATATCATATATTGATTGTAGATTAATTCATGTTCTTTAATTTGATAATTTTAAGTCATGTAATTTAATTTTATTATCTTTTGTATTATTTACGTTAAAATTTAAAATTTTATAAATATATGAAACTAAATTTATCAAATTAGAGCATAAAAATTAAATCAACAACTTATTTATAATATAAGTACGAACCATAGAATTTGACCAAATAATTAAATAGACCAGTTACCGGTTATTGAATTTCATAGTTGAAATGGTTGACTTAACCAAATTAATAATTATCTTATATTTAATTTAAATATATTTATAAATATATAATTTAAATTAGACCCAATTCAACCAACCTAATCCAAATTTAAATATATTTATAATATCTAATAAAAAATTTTGATAACCGACTAAAATGACCAAATAAACTGTTACTAAATTAATTTGATTAGATTGATTAAGTGAAGCCTATTGATCTGTTGGTTTAATGATAATCGGAAGTTACCTTAAAAAATATGAAAGGATAACGAGATAAACCTAAGATTTTAGACATGAATTTGAATCATAGTTCAATGTGTGGTAATGAGTTCATGAAGTATATCTATGATATGTAATTTTCAGAGAAAGACGTTGATGTTAGAGGTTTTTTTAATAAGTAAATGTATAAACATGGAAGAGGATATTACCCAGTGTCTTTTCGTCTCATAAAAAGGGGTCAACTTCAACTTCTTTTGGATATGAAAAACCAACAGCAGCGACGGGACTACTTTTCCTTTTGATTCAAAGCAATTCAGACCAAATGTGAAAGGTTGCTATATGTTATTATCTATAAAATATAATTAGAATTGACATGCTGAATAGTATATGAAATGAAATTCAAATATGTAGCATTCAGTTTAACGTTTGTATAAATTATCATTTTTTTTTGTATTATCTTTTAAAGTATTTTATTCTTTATCGTTTTAAACTTTGGTTAAAATATCTCCTATTAGAAGGAAATCATTAGTTTACTAATAATCAATATATGTTACCGATGTAATATTTATATGTACTTAATTGATGACGTGATATATATCATGTTACCTAAAATAATTAAATAATACATGCTAATGATATGTGTCACATCATCCATAGTGATAGAATGGATGTACCACATCACTCATAATAATAATAATATGGCATGTGTTACATCAACGATTAAAACATTAAAAACTAAAATGCTTAAAAAACAAGAACAAAAGTAACCATTTATACAAATTACATATATAAACGTATCATTATGCCTTTCCCAAAATCCTGATCCTTTAAACTATATTTGTTCACAAGGAAAAAACTACAAGAAGAAATGGTGTTTGGAAACAAGTTAGATTATTCTGTAACATTCCAAGATTTGTTTTACTTTTACTTTCCCCTAGCTGTTAAAACCATATATGTGTGTGTGTATGCCAATGGCTGGCTTCACATTACGAAAAAAAGGGAGAGATAATGTTAAATGATTGGGGTATAATTTCAGCAAAAAAGGAGAGATCGTGTGCATATATGAGCATGTCAGCATGTGCAATTTTCATGCAAACATTAAATGTGCTTTACTTTAGGTAGCTCTTTTTCTGATAGATATTCTCAACTTATCTTCATGTATTCGATAAAATTTACCATCGATTTCGTTTTTTCAAGTTTATTATATAAACTGATATTTAAATTTAATGTTTTTAAAATAGTGCCAAGATGTTTTATATGTCAAATTAGTATTTCTTTAAAAATATATATTAAATTAAATTTTTTGTTGACTTGACATTTCAATAATCATTCATGTTGTTTATAGGATATTTACCAATTAAAAAAATGATTTTGAATATCATATGTCGTAATCTTATTTGTTGATATGATGTCGCATCATCGTTAATTGTCAATTTGAGAATGTTTTTCAAAGTTAAGTATCAATTTGAAAGAAAATGTTAAATGTAGGTATTAATTGATATAATAAGCCTTTTTCTCATGTTCTGAGTAGCTCACCCTTGGTTAATGAGACAATTACATTTCTAGTCCCTTAAACAATTTATCAGTTTAATTTAATCTCTATTAATTGGACATGTTTAATGATTGGGTTATTCATCCAAGCCCAAAGGCCTATTTGAAATGCGGGAGGGTTTGGTAAATAATATTTAACCTGAAACCAGAATATTAGACTCGATAAAATATGATACCAATTTCAGATTATTTTTTTCAAGTTTAGGTACCTACTTGATGAATCTTTCTAAGTTCAGTAATCAATTTAAGATAAAAGGAAATTCGTGTATCAATTTGAAAAATTATTATCATGTTCATATATTAATTTTTATATTGAACCTTTTTACTTGTATTCGGAGCCTGAATCCTAGCACAACAAGGTGTCACACCCCAATTTAGGGGCTAGTTTTTAAAGTGTCGAATTAAACTCGTAACAAGGGAAATTTTGAGGACTAAATTGTAAATTTATAAAAGTTGCAGCTCGATTTTAGAACTTGTGGGAAGTTTAGGGACTTAACCCTAAATTTTATCATTTTTCCTGGTAAGTGAAAAATAAAATATCAAAACCCCCTTCGTGCACCGAGAACCCAAGCCCCAAATCAACCAACCCAAGCCTTTTGTCGCCCCTCCCGATCCACCATGCTCCACCCGGCGGTGCATGTTACCGCCCGTCCCATTCGAAACACCAGTGTCATCTGATCAGAACTCCTCGGTTAATTTGTCGAAAGTCGTTGTCATTTAGCCGAATCGAGAGGAGAAGTCAACGCCAAAACCCCCACTCGATGGCCTCGTTTAGCTGCAAAATTCGATCGATCAGGCGACCATCTCGCCTCACCGCCGTCACCGGCCTATTCCGCGTAAAACCCACCGTTGTTGTTCTCGTTGTCCGCCGTTGAGGGTAAGTCTCAAATGATTTTCGATTGATTTAACGTGGTTTTGGTTGATTATTTTGCTTGTTGTGAGTTGTAATTGATGTTTGGAAGAAGTTGGAGAAATTGGCCGGTCGAAACAGCCCCCAGAGTTGTTGCACGAGTTGCCTCCTACGCGTGGGCGTCGTCTGTCATCCAGGGGAGTTTGATGACCGAGCCAATTTAGCCGCATGATCGAGTCAACCGAGT